TTTCGCCGCTATATTTTTATTTTGTACTCTCAAATTTCATAGATCGTATGCATGTAGGATGTTCGAAGCTTATTGAGAACGATGATAGAGGAGTGGATAAATACCCGATGTATAGAACCGAATTGGGGAAATCTGTGGCGTTGAAAAAATCTTCAATTGCAAAAGCATTATCTATCCTCGATGAAGATGACACTGCCTCTACTGTCACTCCAAGTAAACACTTCTCTCTTTCATTTTAATTTTGTTAATGTTTGATTCAGTTCCCAAGCCACCTCCAATCAAGTTTCATACTGTAGGTGAAAGGTCGTTATTTGTTTCAAGTGAAGCACTGAAGCGCACAAGGAGTCTTCTTGGTGAACCGGAGGTAGGGGATTTATTTGGTGAAATGGATGAAGAGCTTCTCCATATACAGTTTACAGGGAGGAAAAACTTAACGATGCTTCATCAAATAAGGAAAACTATTTTTTTACTTCCTTTCCACATGAAGGAGCAATGAAGATTAAATTCTAGTGAACAATATTTTTTTAATTGAAAGTGAAATAACCTAGATAAATTCTAGAGAACAATGTCAAACTACATTACATTTAATTTTAATGTTTATAAATTTTAATTTATTTTATTGTTAAGTATTTTTTTGCATAACTTGTGTCTTAATTAAAATGTATGGTTGTTGTTAATTAGATAAAGCTACATGATATTAAATTTAGGTGATGTAGAGCGGAAATGAAATATGCAAAATCAATTAATCTTACCTAAATAAAGGTAATTATCGACATTTGTATCCAAAAACGACGCTATAAATTTGACCTTTTGCGACGTTTGTATCTAAAAATGCCGCTATAGGTCTGACCTTTTGTGGTGTTTATTCCAAAAATGCTACTATAGATCTGACCTTTTACGGCGTTTTTCCAAAAACGCCGCTATAGATATAACCTTTTATGGCATTTTTGGAAAAACGCCGCTATAGATCTCGACCTTTTGCGGCGTTTGTTCTAAAAATGCCGATTTAGATATCGACCTATTGCGGCGTTTGTATAAAAAAATGCCACTATAGATCTGACCTTTTGCGACATTTTTTGTTCTCAAACGTCGCTAACTTTAGCAGCGCTGGTATGGCCAGCGCTTCTTGCGGTGTTTTTCCTATCGCCGCAAGGCTTTTAGAGGCACTTAAAAACGCCACTATAGGACTAAAAAACCCCGCTAAAACCTTGTTTTGTTGTAGTCGAGTAAAGTTATTTGAATAAAGTTCAATTAACATTCGAATTGAATGAATTTGATATGAGTTCTTAACGAGCCGAAACGAGTTACTTGATACAATACTCGAAGAGCTCATAAGAAACTCGGAAATAATATATTAGTTTTTTTTATTTTGAAGTTAAATTATTTATAATATTAACATTTATACATTGTTTTTTAATATAATATAAAAATTTCACTTATTTAAGGTTCGAGTTCGAGCTTCAATCGAGTCAAGTTTCAGAATGTTTTAAGTTCAAGTTTTTTCGAATTTAATAATTTTAAGCTCGTGAGTTTTCGAGTTGGATATTAAATAGCATGTGAGTTTTTTTTTTTATAAAAAAAATACAAGCTTATGTTCTTTGGAATTCGAGTAAAAGTTGACAATTTAAGCTTGCAAACTTACGAGTCGATTAGAGATTAATTTTAAATTTTTCTAGTAAAAAAAACTTAACAATACCCGAACTCTACTGAATTCATTTATAACACTAAAAAAATAATCCTAAATGAGGTAGTAGATGGAATTTTGGCTGAACCCGGTGAATGATTGGGCCATAGTACATGTAGGTAAACGCGTAGAAAGCACTCAAAGGGACAATGGAAGGCACACGCAACTTCCCTTATGCGTACTAAAGTATAAAATGGAAACCAGCTGCATGCACTTCACCACTTTAGTTCACTCCTACTTCAACAATTATTGTTTTCTACATTTCTTAATTTAATCCTTTTTTCATCTTTATTAGTCTAATATTTTTATATAAAAACATTTTTTTTGAATTTCTCTTTAATTTATTCATCCGTCCACTAATACCCATTACCTTGTGTGCATGTGACAGATAGAAATTATTTTAGTTTTTCTTAATTGGCGAAAAAGAAATTATTTTAGTCAACCGAGATAGAAAGGATTAAATTGTAAATTTTAGGCATAAAAACAAATTTTAAATGGTCAAATTTTATCATTAGTTCATATACTATATATACGTTGTAGATTCAGATTTTCTACTCTAATTTAGTTAATTTTAGTTCTTTATACTTTTCTTGTTTTTCAATTTCAAAACTCACCCACATAAAACAAGCCAATGTTATTAAATTATTAGGACTTAAAGTGATCAAATTAGAGAACATGCACTAGATCTTTAACTAACGCATATCATAAAATTAATGCCAGAATTCAACTCAACAGATTTTATTACTATTGTTTGAGTCAATACCAAAATTTTAAAACTTGAAAAATAGATGGACTAAAAAATAATTAAAGTAAAGAGAATAAATCAACAACTTAAATACAGTACAAGGACTATAAAAGAATTCGGCCCTTTTATATAGTTTGAATACTACACTATAAACAATAATAAAAAATGAAGAAGAAAACAATCCAAAGGAGATTAAATTTTAAGAATATTGCTGCAATGCCTATTTACATATATGAAACTTTAGTCATTGATAAAATAATACTTGGAAAATATAATTAATCTACAAGAACTTGGAAAATACATGAAATAATAGTAGAATTAAACTTGGAAAATAATCAAGCCTTCAAATTTTCTTTTTTAAAAAATCAATTAATCCCCTCTACCACATCATCATTCAAAATGATTTGTAACATTAGTATAGTGAATCATCATGTTATTACAATAATGATCAAACTTGCTTTCCTTCAATTAAATGGTCAGATTGATTTTTTTCACTTTAAAGTTCACATTGAATGTAAAATAAATTTAGGTACTATATTAATTTTTTTTTAAGTTTGATGGCTTTAAATAATAATAATAATAATAATAATAATAATAATAATAATAATACTTTTAGAAAGAGGATGAACTAATTTTTCAATTTACCCCAGGGCATATCTAAAATTTTAGGGTAAATTATGTGTTTCGTATTTAAATTATATGTTTTTATCTGTTTTAGTACTTAAACTTTTAATTTTTTTCAAACCCATACGTAAAGTTTATGTTTTATTTCATTTTAGTATCCCGTTCAAAATTTAACGTTAAGTTTTGAAAACAATTGAAAGTTCAGGTACTAAAATGGGTCAAAACTGATAGTTTAAGTACTAAATGCGTTAAGTTTTTAACGGCGATGTATAAAAATGAAATAAAAACTAAACATTATGTATGTTTTTAGAAAAAAAAAACTAAAAGTTTAGTACTAAAACAAACTAAAATTAATAGTTTATGTATTAAATACGTAGTTTACTCAAAATTTTAACTTACTGCAAGGGTTAAATTGCTTTTTAGCCTCCTAATATGATAAAACTTTAATTTAATATCTTGAAAAAATATAAAATTATAAGCTAAGAAAATAATAATTTTTTTATTTTTACTTCCTAAAAAATTTAAAAATAAATGTCGGCCTCTCCAAAAATATTTTCTAAGTTGGCCTTGATTTACTCCAATTTTTGTCGCATAAGACTTTAAAGTAGCTTGGAGAATGACTTCAACAATAATTCTTATTTTTACCAAACCCAACATGCCAAACATGCATGCATTCATGATATAATAGGGTTTAAACACCGTAAGTCACTTGGCTTGGCTAATGCCATATTAAATAGGGTTTATTTGCTAAAGATGTTGAAGTTGTTAGGCAGTACTGTAAGTGGCGGATGTAGGCTTTGGTCAGGGTGGACATATATTCTTATGTTAGTAGTTTATTTTATTTATGGTGTTTATCTTCAAATTTTATTTGTGCATACTTCACGTGAAAATTTTTTGTTATTAATACATGTGTACCCACTGTCAAATTTGTTTTTGGATCCGCTGTTGATTACTGTTATCTTACATCTTTTAATTATTTGGTTTTCTATGGCCTTATATAAGAAATTGACCTTTTAAATTCATGTAAATTGATTTTGTTTTGGTTGGATACTTGACAATCCAAAATAATACCCTTTGGGGACATACATTTTACTAGAAACTGCCCCTCACAAGGATCCAACTTCACTTAACATAGAAAGGGTGCTCCTATTTCTGCTTATTAAATTTATGGGAATCGAGAGGTCCAACTTGAATGCAGGCAAACAATTAATTTTTTAATTAATAGAATATAATTATAAAATAATATATGTTTTAAAAAAAATTAATCTATTAATAATGTATATATAAACCCTGTAAACGTAACTCAAACTTAGAAAAGAACAACATTCTCATATCACGGAGGTTATTTAATGAATTCAACTGCAATTAAGCTTAATGTGTGACAAAGCAATATAAATGGATCAAAATTCATGCAAATCTGATAGGGAAGAATATGGAAATACCACAATGTAAATATATTATAAATTTATAAGGTGGGAGAAGAACCCCCACCAATGATTTGGCCTTCTTGAGTTTTATATATGTTGGCCGCCCACCCCCCACTAAGCCATAAAGAAAAAAAGCAAAGGAAAATGTGTTGAGGCCTTTTTCCAAACCATTTTCTTATGAGCAACTAAAGGCCGCTCAGCATATGACTTGTTTGGAAAGTGGTTTTGGATTTGGATCATGCAAATATTTCCCTAATTAATTTACTTGTCAAGTTGACTTTTAATCTCGAGTTTGACAGATTTTAACACCAACAATCTCTTAACCTATCTAGATATTTCACGAGTTTAGTGAATTTTTTACGTGTCACCTTACGTGCAATTAACATGCAATTAATTGTGCTAGTAAGATTATCATATTCATCAACGACCGAATTTGGTGGATGAAAAGATAGACCCACTATCTTCAATTAAAAATATAATTCATACTTGGACCAACTTTATGCATATATCATGTATATTCATGTTTTTATATATATATATATGGGACTCCTCTCCAGCTAGCCTTCCGGAAAAACAAAGTGATTTATCTCCATTGAAGTATTTGGTCATGCTGCTGAAAATGATAATGATGGTTAATTTACTAAGTATGTTTATATTGGCTGCGGGTTTCCCATATGGAGTCGTCGATGGTCTTCGGATGGACTATTACCTCATGAGCTGCCCGTTTGCTGAACAGATAGTGAAGAACACTGTGAACGGTGCTTTGGATAATGATCCGGCACTGGCTGCTGCTCTTGTTAGGATGCACTTCCATGACTGTTTTATTGAGGTTTCTTTCTCTCTCTGTCTCGGTCATCGGTTTTTGTTATTTTGATTCACTGTACGATCAGTGCTTAAATGTACGGTGGATTAGGGGTGTGATGCGTCCATTCTGATCGATTCGACCAAGGACAACACGGCCGAGAAAGACTCCCCCGGGAACTTGAGCTTGCGAGGCTACGAAGTTATTGATGATGCAAAGGACCAGCTTGAAGAGCAATGCCCTGGCATTGTCTCGTGTGCTGATATTGTTGCCATGGCTGCTAGAGACGCCATTTTCTGGGTATAACAAAGGCATAATGCTAAATAATGCTTATAACATTTGATTAAATAGTTGTTTTAGCATATATTATTAGTTTTAGAAAATTTTGGCACCCAATGTTTTAATTTTAGAGTTAAAAACCTTAACTTTTGACTAAATAGTCATTTAGACCTCAGCATTTTATCCCCAACGTTTTATTTAAGATAAAAATATCCCTATCTTAAAGTATTTACAGTTTATTAAGTAATAATGTTTATATACAGATAGATTTTTCTGTCCCAAACGATGTGTCAAAAATACTCACACAAAAATAGTAACTAAAATAATTACTTATTCAAACTTCATAGATTTTTTTTATTATTATGCCTATAAAAACTGCTTAACAAGTTTGATTTATATATATATTAATGTATCATTAGGTTAATTGATTCACTAATATTGTATGAGTGGAGGCAGGGGGGCCAGTGTATGATATACCAAAAGGAAGAAAAGATGGAAGGAGGTCAAAGATTGAAGATACAATCAACCTGCCTTTCCCCACCTTCAACACCTCTGAGCTCATCACCGCCTTCGGCAAGCGAGGTTTCACTGCTCAGGAAATGGTTGCTTTATCTGGTACCTATATCACCTAACATATATATAATTGTTTATTTTAAGTTTTTTTTATTCGGTTTTCACACTTCATACACGGCTAAGCAAGCATTCATGTGGTCAAATTTACAAGAAACGTAATCTTAAACATTGCTAATTTCTCTTTCACTACTTTTATACTTCGTCTTTTGAACTTTAAAATATTTGGGATTTCTTAAAGTTTTTTGTGATTTTATATCCTCCAGATAATTATGATCCTTTGACATAATTTTTGGTTTATCTATGTGAGCTATAAGGTAAATCTATTATCTGACAACAGTGGCGGATCTATAAATTTAAGAATGTGGTCTAAAATTTTAATTTTCTTTTCCTAAAAATAATGGGTATGTAAAAATTTAATTTTTTCTTTTTTTCCTTAACACATTAATCTAAATTTAAAGGATGCACTCGACATTTTGGGACAGAAACGATTATGTAAATTTTAAAAATTCGACTTAATTCCATCATGAATGATCTTCCAGGGGCACATACTCTAGGAGTGGCAAGGTGCGCATCATTCAAAGGCAGATTGAGCAGTGCAGATCCTACTTTGGATTCAGATTTCGCCAAGACATTGTCCAAGAAATGCGGCGGCGGCGACAACGCTGAGCAACCATTCGACGCTACGCCGAGAATTTTCGACAACTTCTACTTCAATGCACTGATGAGGAAAAGCGGGCTTCTCTTCTCCGATCAAACACTGTACACGACACCAAGAACTAGAGGCGTTGTGAATGGCTATGCCATGAACCAGGCTATGTTTTTCTTCGATTTCCGAAAGGCAATGATAAAAATGGGCACGGTTGATGTCAAGGAAGGATCTAAGGGTGAAGTTCGTCAAGATTGCCGCAAGATCAACTGAAGTTTGTTATTGTGGAATATACAATTTGATTCTTTGTAGTCTAAATTGTATCAAGTACAAATTCTGGGATTTCTGTATTTATGGTTACATAAAAACTAAATAATAGCACGCCCTCTTATCTCAGTCAAAATTTGGAAATATTGTTGGATTTCTGTATTAATGGTTGCAACAAATCAAGGAATTATAGTTTTTTTTTTGTCCTCCCAGTTCCAAAGCTTTTTCTTGACTAATCTAGACCAAATTGCGTCACACACCTAGTTTCTAAATCGAGTCTCACACTTGGTTTTAGTGGATGAATCTCTCGGTATGGATTTTTTGCATTGACAAGAATTTAAACCTGAAACCTTGCTTACGCATGATCAATCTGTTTATCACTTGAGCCAACCCTATCGGCGGAAATTAAGGAATTTGGATACATGATAAATAATGCAAAATGTTTGGTCGGGAATTCATAACTGTAGTGCTCCACAAACTCAAAAGAGATGAAGTGAAGTGGTGGGAGAGGATAAATATTCTCAATTTTAACGTGTTTAGAATGAAAAATAAACATTATATTTATACAAGTGGTGCTATCTAATAGAAAAGGTAATTGAGATAATTAAGGTAGATAAAATTAATTCTTCAACTCTCTTAGAAATGCAATAAAATAATAGCACTACACACAAATTGGGTTTAGTTCTTTTGAAATTCATCGATCGCCACTTATTTCACAAAATCATTAATTGATATTACTCTCTTTACAGTTGCTTTATACGTCATGACTTGGACAAATATTTTTGTTACTCAACACTTCTCATAAAATATTTAGAATTTTAAAAAATAAATAAATGTTAATTTTATTTGAAAACCCTTTTATAAAATTCAAAATAATTTTTCGATCAAACTAACTGTTTATATCAACATAAATTTTATGACACATAAACTATGTATACCGTTTCTGTACATGCACTTTTCATTTGACAGTGTCTAAGCCAAGCATGAAACCCTTTCATACACTAAATTATTTGCTTCATGATGTAGAGTAATGTGTATTATTGAATTTTGGATCGAGTATAGAGTATCAACATAAGTGTCTAATGTATGGGTTTTGGTTGCTGTGTGGTGCAGAGTGAGTCACCTACGGCGTGAGCTGCTCTCAAATCTACCACAATGTTTTTTTTTTCTTTTATCAAGAGTGACTATAAATGGTAGCATTTTTTTCCTTTTTGAATTGTAGAGATGAAAACAGAAAAATTCAAAGTTTACAACTGGGATGAAATCAAAATATCACAAAGCAGAAGCTGTTGAAGATCCGCTGGTGGCTCCTCAAAAAAGTGGGTGTCAAAGCTGTGAAAGCTAGTAGACTTGGCCAGAGCATCAGCATGAGAGTTTCCTCTTCGAGAAATCCACTGGATAGTTGTGACCCAGGCTTGTTTCCGAATCTTGTCGATGACTCGAACCAAAGGAAGAGGGCTGGAATGAGCGTCCGGTTTATTCAAGAGGTTAACAGCTTCCATGGAATCAGATTGAATAATGAGTAATTCAAACCCATGGTCCCAAGCTACCTGAAGACCAACGTAAATTGCCCATAATTCAGCATGCAACGGTTGTAAGATTACAAGAGTTTTATTGAAACCAAGGATCCAAGATCCTTCATTGTCACTAAATACTCCACCGATGGCTCCATTTTTAGTGGTAGAGGAGACAACACCATCAACGTTCAAGCAAATCCAACCTGGCTCAGGGGTGTTCCAAGCATCTTGCTGGTTTGGGGTGGTACGATTGGGAGTTGAATGAACCTTGCTTTCAGCGTAGTATCGAGCCCAGGTGAAGCTACGACTGAGGGTAGAGTCCCCATTCTGAGGGATATATTCAAACATTTGATAATTTATAAAAAATTTCAATCATTTGAAAATATATAATCAAACTTTTTACATTTATTAGTACTCAAACTCGAGACTTTTAAGGACTAGAACCATCACTTTAATCAATAAGATAACTTGGTTTGTGCAACTCTATCACAATGTTTTTCTTTATTAATTGAGATAAATACAATATAATATATGTCCAAAAAGATAACATTCAATTATTTGATATCAAAATTCCTAACATTTCTAGTGCCAAACACAAAACTTCAAATATAACAATAATTCATCTACCATTAAATTAGTTTGATTCGTGTAACTCTACCATAATGTTAGATACTATTTTAAGATATTAAAATTTCCAATTTAGGAAACCATGGCCCCTGCCTTGACCCTCACTCCAATCCCTTGTTAACCAATACAAGGCCTAAAAATTACTCAAAGAAAAGAAAAAGACAATACTAGGCTTAAATTGCCCATCCTCCTGCTTTCTTCAAGTTGAATTTATAAATAAATGTTCATTTGAGAAGAATAATAAATGTTCATTTGAGAAGAATCTTGTTGATTGAATATATAATCTTTTCCTAAACATCTACATAACATCCCGTTATATCATATCAGATCTATATTTCTATCCATTACCTCTACAAAGGGCATCACTAGCCCAATTTCTCTATAAACAAATCTTGTTTCCAGAATTATTCCACTAACTCTTATATATATATACTAGTAATTATGTTCATCAATAAACAATAACTTCAAAGAAAACAAAAAAAGCAAGAAAAAGTGAAGCATCGTTAACTGCTTGATTCAAAAACGTGTGTGATGAGAGGGGAAAATAGAAAAGTTTCCATCCTGAATCAAAGAGAAAAAAAACGAAGGGCAAAGATGAAGAGATCATCAGAGACTTAAAACGAGGAAAGAATCATGGAACGAATCCATCATGTTGTTGGTCTTTCAGGCTCATCATTTGATCCATTCTCTTATCTTATTATCATCGAAACACATTCAAATACTTGCCATTGAAACACGCACATACTATCTTTTTTATTTCAAAACTGCCAAAAGGGGGGGGGGGGGATCCAAGAAAGGCTAAGAGCGTATGGAGGGGAATGCTTATCTGTGAGAACATTTATAAACTCAAAGCCGACGGCTGTCACACCCTATAACAACTTCTACAAAATGGGAAGCCCTAGATTTTATTTATCTCTATGGCACCAAACGCAGCGTTTCGTTTGCACAGATGTTCTAAAACAAAATGAGGAGTTTTGGCATCCATTATGCAAATATTCATGTTTTAGTCCCTATATTTTAATAATGTACATTTTTCTCTTAATATTTATATGTTTTTTCTAATTTGATATCCAATGTTATTTTTTTTAATAGTATGAGGTGATTATAAAATAATATATGTTCAAGATTTTTCTTAATCATTAACAATAACACACCCTATAAATACAACTGTTTAAACTTAAGACTTTAAAGGAGAACAAGATCCTTGTAACACATTATTTTGTTAATAAATATTTTTTTTTTGGTAACAGGCATTGTCAAAAACTGATCTGTCCAAGTTGAGGATGTTTCTAACATCAGGAGGCGGGCATGGAGACTGGATTGAAGGGTTTACTAGAAATATCGGCTGCACCACTATCCTGCAAGCTGAACTTTGGCCGATACTCGATGGGTTGCAGATAGCTTGGGAGAATCGATTTCGGCATTTGGAAATAGAAACTGATAACATAGAGGTTTTCCAGTCTACACCGATCTGGATCGCACACCTGATTTTAATGGGTGAGTTTTGTAACAGAGATTTTCTGTATATACAAGAACCCAAACATGAGACCTTACTTAAGCAATATCAAATTATTTACTCCTTGAACCAACCCATTAATCACGCATCATCGTTTTGATCAGGGTAAATTCACTTAATTTTAATAAAAAAGGTAAAGGCTCATGTTTTATATACGTCCAGTTTAATCCAAAAAAATTTATTTAATCTTGAAAGGGTACATGACATGTCAAAATCCTGTTTTTCTTTATGTTAAAAAACATAAACCATTAAAAATACAAGTGAAATTCCTACTAAATAAAATATTTTATTTTTTAATGAAAATTGAAACAAAAGAATACTAATAAAAATATATAAGATAACCACCCATCTTTACGCATTATATCAATTTCATCGTTATTTAAAAATATATATCAAATTGATTATTATTCTAAAATATCATAAACAAATATAAAAAAAATCTCAAAAGGAATTTAAAGATTCAAAAAGTCCTAACTAGTTATTTGTTAAAAAGTTTAAAGATACATAAAATAAATTTTAAAAAAATCTCAAAAGGAATTTAAAGATTCAAAAAGTCCTAACTAGTTATTTGTTAAAAAGTTTAAAGATACATAAAATAAATTTTAAAAAAATAACTCTAACCAGCGATATAATGACGTGACAAAGTTATTGACTTTAGATTAATAGTTTAGAGAAGAATGAATAATTAGTCTGAAAATCTTCTTCTTCTTCTTCTTCTTCTTCTTCTTCTTCTTCTTCTTCTTCTTCTTCTTCTTCTTCTTCTTACTCAACCTTAGCCTCCATTGACTGACCTCCTTTTAAACTTCAGTTATTTTAAAATAATTATCAAAGTAACACATATGACATCGGACTTAATTATGATTACACTCAACGAATTTTTTAGGGGTGTTCAAACGGTTAATTCAACCATTGACCGAATCAAATTGTCACTAATCAAATTAATCAAACATTTTTTCCTTTAACCGTTAATCGAACCAAACTTTTTCTGAAGATATTAATCGAACTGAACAAAGTTCGGTTATTTCAGTTGGTTAACCGAATTAATCGAACTTTTTTTAGATTAATTTAAATATAATAGATGTATATTTTTTTTATTTGAGTTAAAAATTAATTAGGTATTGATAATTTAATGAGTGTAGTGTAATTAAAAAATCATCGGTACTAATTTTTATTGGGTTTGAGCGTAAAATATGTTTATAATATTTATAATATATATAGTATTTAATAATTTTGATTAATTCGGTTAATTAACTGAATTCGAGTTGAATTAACCGTTAACCAAATATTGTAAAAAAATTAACCTCTCCCCCGACCGAACTAATTCGGTGACTGACCAAATTAACCGAACTAATTCAATTCGGTTAAAACCAAATATTAAACACCCCTAAAATTTCCTAATTTGCGGGGTGTCCCGAATCACTACACTACTTCTAAAGGCTGTTGATATTTTTCTCGATTGCTAGTTTTTTCAATCGAATCATTATATAACAATAAATTGCAATATCATCACAATTCTTATAATAATTCAACATTTCATAAATTTAACCTAAATGCAATATCCTTTGATTTGTGTTGCAATAGTTGTGTTTACCTATATCGGTAATTAGCGTTGCGAAAATTTCTATGTTCGCGTTGCGAATTTGGAAACTGTGTTGCGAAATAGGAGTTCGCGTTGCGAATTTGAAATCGCGTTGCGATTTTGTTGGTTATTTTTGCAAATCCAAAAAAAGTTGGTTAAAATCGTATATTATAAAGTAGTTTCGGCCACTGAAGTTATTTTATCATGACAATAACCCTAAATTGAATAAGCTTTAGGGTTTGATCTTGCCCTCGATCATAAATTAAATTAAACATGCTTATGAATGCAATATCCTTTGATTCTTATTGAAGGGTTACCCATTTGTGCTAATAAACTCGAATTTCCAAATTTTAATTAATTAGGGTTTGAGGATCAAAATGGAAACTATATTAGTTATGAATTAATTATATCAATGAAGAGCTCAAGAGAAATACTAAATGAATCTAAGCTTGGAATTGGAATTTGATGACTACGAATTGAATCAAAGACTATGCAAATGAATGAGAAGAAAAGGTTGAAGAAGACTTAGCAAAATCCTTTCAGTTTCTTCACAAAATCAAACTGTGGGGTTTACCCCACCCACACCACAACTTTTACTATATTTTCCTTTAATTTCAATATTGAATGCCTACTATGCATCACTTAATCACTTAGGATCATTACACCTAAGATGGCTTCCACATAACTAAACCATCAATTTTTCTCTATGAATAATTCTACATGCAATCGTCTAACAATTTTGTAACACACCAAATTCTGAGTTGGTAGTTTCGGGTTTACCTGAGAGGCTTGTGGACCCCATGATTTTCATAATTAAATTCGTTGGGTCGAGTTAGGCTTATTTGGTTTGGAATTGAGCCCAATTAGCCATAAAAATGGGTTTTAAACTGTAGAAAAATAAGGAAGGACCAAACTTTCAATTATTCCATTTTCAAAAAGATGAAGTCTTTAATTCTCTTTATTTTCTTCATCTCTTCATTTCTTCCCCTATTCTCATTTTCATCTCCTTCCTCTCCAAATTTCCATAACACAAAGGCAAGTTCTTTAGCCTCTTTTCATGCTTCATATCCATCCAAAATCCCTCTAGCAGCATTGTTTTGAAGATTAAAGCTTTGGTTTTTTATTTTTACAAGAGAAAGTGAGAATTTTATCATCCAAGCTTAGAGAAGAGTGTTTGGTGGTTAAAACAGCTTCATTTCCAAGATCCTTTAATCAAGATAATGTATTTCTAATCCTTTGGAGTGTTAAGACTTTCCTACATATAAAGATTTGTTGTGATTTAAGTATTTAAGCATTTTAGGGTTTATATTTGATTTTATGATTAAATAACATTTTAGGTGTTAAGAAAGTGTTTTTATGACACCATAACACCCTAATTAACTCTTTAAAGCTTTAGCTCATGATTAAGAACCAAACTAAGAAACTAAGGACAAATTTTAGAGGTTTCTTGAGCCTAAATAAGATATTTCTAGGTTCAAGTATTGATATTGAATGAATAATATTGATACTAGATGATTTAGGGATGAAATCTAGTGATTTCAAGCAGGGAGTATCGATACTGTTGGGAGAGTATCGATATTTCCCCTTCAATCTCGAGACTCAGAGTAACAGTATCGAGACCATGTCTAAATTTCAATAATATAATGCATTTTTGGTACTGATACTCATAAGTGTATCAATACTTGACCCTAAGTATCGATATTACAAGTAAAGTATCGATACTACTCATCTTAGATGGTTAGATTTAACATCTTTAAGGCTTGTAAGAGCGAAGGATAATCCATAATGGTAAACCTTAGACCATGAAGGACGTAAATGGCCAAAGGGGCCTGCATACACTCGTAGGGGTGGATTACAATTGAAGTAACTATAGTTGGCGTAACACGTTCAAGTTTCTTTAGTTGAGCACGTAATGAGTATCTAAGAAAAAAGACCATTGCTGAGGATGTACCGAATAATGATATGAAGAATTTATCATATTTTGAGATAATGGAGTCGTGAACTGCATGAATGTCAACGGATGGTGGACGTACAATCACCCCTCTAATTCGAGGGTGAATTAAAGGAAAGCGTAGTAAGAGCGACTAGAGTGTAACTACTCAGAGTTGAACTTGAGTCAGGTATCTGGCTAGCGATTAGTATAACCAGTGAACAACAACCACATAAATCATCGTAGAATCACGAATCGCGTAGAGACTTCCTTAGAGATAGAGAATGAATAAAATACCCTTAATTAACGAACAACCAAAATATAACAACTTAAAGACTAACATAAATAATCGACTAATAAATCCTTGTGAAACATTCTAGATGAGGAACGAGTGAGATAACAACTAGTGAGAGGGTGACCTCACTTTAGTATGCCCAGTTATATTGTTTGAAGGACACTCTCAGCTCAACTCCAACTTCTGATCTAGTAATCCTAGAAATTTGATGCATAGACATAACGCCACCTCCTCTAGCTGGCACTCGACCTCTCTGCACTGACGATTCCGATCGCTGAGTCACTACTAATGTTTTTCCCTGAGTTGTTGGACAGTCTCTGTCGAAATGACCCATGGAGCTGCAACTAAAACAACCTCCATACC